GTACCAATGTGGGGAATCGGACCCGGGTCTTCAGCGTGATGAGCGAACGCTTTAACCACTATGCTACCCACCGCCCCTCTTTGGCAAGAATCTACTTGAACTTGCCAGTCACATGGTAGACACAGGGTGGCTCAGTTGTCTAAGTTGCTGCAGTTTGTAATACAGAGTTGTGTCCCTTACTTCAGCAGATTACTGTAATCACGGGTTTGAATGTTAGTTTCACCCTGATCGTTTGTGGGTTTGCCAGCATGATACCCATGTATAGCCAAGACCTCCATTACATGACTCTTTCCTCCATCTACCTCACATGCTATGATATAACTGAAACTTTGTTTTAAGTGACATTAAGTAAAACACACTCACTCATGAAAATAATAATATCATATAAATATATAATATTATGACCTAAGACATATTATGATAGGAAATCCAATATGGAACAGTCTTGCAATGCTGTGTTTTTTACAACCACCTAACCCCATCTCTCTCTCTCTCATTCACTCACTCACCCACATAGTCTTCTTTTGGAATTGGGGCAGTGGGGTAGCTTAGTGGTTAAAGTGTTCGCTCGTCAAGCCAGCGACCCGGGTTCGATTCAGCACATGGGTACAATGTGTGAAGCCCATTTCTGGTGTCCCCCGGAATATTGCTAAAAGCAGTGTAAAACTAAACTCACTCACTCACTCACTCACTCACTCACTCACTCACTCACTCACTCACTCACTCACTCACTCACTCACTCACTCACTCACTCACTCACTCACTCACTCACTCACTCACTCACTCACTCACTCACTCACTCACTCTTTTGGAATTTATTAACGCTACTCAGAAGTGTCATGTTACAGAAACAAAATTTGGGTGATACTGAGTCAAACTACCTTGGCCATCTGGCCTGACAGTACACTTGCACAAGTTTCTAGGGTAACAATTATTAGTTTAATGATAATTTCTAGATTATATAAATGATAAGAAAAGGTTTTCCCAATAAGAGACTGGCATTCTCAGAATGTATTGTTTGCTTATCTAGACATGCTCTTTAAGCACAGAATTAATTTACATCCACAGACATTCAGTACAGCCTTGGAGCAGAGTAAGCCTCTCTGGCATCACAAGGGAATGTCACATATAATGGATAAGCAAACCACCTGGGTTCTCAACCAAACTGACTTACAGTCCATTTGATTTCATTTGAGACCGATGAATTGCTCACTAACACAATATGTAATAATTGCATCAAAACCAAATTTTGCACAGTCACATGAAATTGACAGTCCAACTCTGATGATTTATCTCATAATTTTGGACAACCGAATAAAAATAAAAAAGTTGTTTAACAAATTATCATTATTTTGTTGTCACTTTTCGCTATTTTTGACAAGGGGGGACCACTTGCTGGTAGAACAGCCAGGTAATCAACAGGCGTATGTAGTGAAATTTCAATTTCACACATGCAACTCACACATCTGGCTGTTCTACCAGCAAGTGGTCTTAATGATTGTTTGTAAAACAACTTTTTCATTTGGGTGTCCAAAATTATGAGATAAATCATCAGAGTTGGTCTGTCGATTTCATGTGTGAATTTTTTTTTTTTTTTAGCAATTATTAGAGTTTGTGTCAGTGAGCAATTCATCGGTCTCAAATGAAATTTAACTGACTGTACTTTCAGGAGGAGAGTGTTTGGTATATCCTCTGTGACATGTAACCACCAGTGCTTTGATGAGTGACCTTGGGAAATGGTCATGATATATTGCTGGCTAGGGGCCATGGTGCGTTATTATTAATATGTGTATTTATGATGCACCAAATGTTCACACTGAAGCATACTAAGAGGGCTACTTTATGACCCAAATTTCATTCTCAACTCCCTAGGGAGTATACTGCCAAAGTTGCCTTTGAAGCACTAAGCCAACTCATCTTTCCATGTTGATTCAGCCAGATCAAAGATTGTTCTATGTTATATTACCGCAGAAGTTCACTCATAAAGGGAGAATCTCAAAAGAAATAAAAACTGAAAATCTCGAGATATTTTACAGGTGCTTCAGTATATGAGCAACTGAGAGCGATATATATGTTATGTCCAAGTCATTCAAGGCACTGCGTTTCACAGTGGTTATGGCTCCAAAGTTGCCCTGACTGGAAACCATATCATGTTATCACCATCCCATGGTGGAATGTTTACGTTGGGTTTCCTCTGTAAATCTTCAGTGGGAAACATGATTCCTGATGCTAAAGATAAGGGAGACAACTACTTTTTCTCCAAGAAGTTTGATATTTATTTTATATCAGTACCATGGAGAAGCATCAAGCTATCAACATGATATATTCTGTCAAAACACTCTGTCAAGAGTTAGATGGTCAGCAAGTCCAATGCTCGGTATACTAAGTCTTCTTAAGTTATATTGATTGATTGATTGTTGTTTAACTCCACACTCAGCAATATTCCAGCTATATGGCAGCTGTCTGTAAACCTGCATGTTAAGATGGTCAGCGAGATATCTAAAGAACCATTCAACAGACTTTCGTCATATTTGACACCAAACTTCATCTAGGGAAAGTGCAAGGCCCAGTCGATTTTGGTGACCTTCACTTAATTTTCAAGGTCACAAAGACACTTTGAAGATTTCACCATGTTAAGTTGCATGTTAAGATAGTCAGCAAGATATCGCAAAAAACATTCACTGGATTTTTTCATATTTGACACCAAGCTTCATCTAATGAAGGCGCAGGGCCCAGTCAATTTTAATAGAATAGAAGAATAGAAGAATATTTTAATGCTTTTCAGGTATTTGTGTTACATCAGCACAGCTACTGACACATCAGAGAGATACAAAACATATTTACATATTTTCATTGATTTAGGTATCTTCACATTTGTTTAAGAGAAATATGGTACTTGGAATAAAGGATGTACGGGCTCTCTTAGTTTTCACAATTGGAACTTTGTAGCGGCGGCCATTAAGGGAGGAGGTTGTATTCCGAGTTTAAGTAGTGTGTAGGTCAGATATAATTTTGACAGCTTGATTCACGATTTTGGTGACCTTCACATAATTGTCAAGGTCACTGCGACACTTTGACGATTTCAGCATGTTAACCTGAATTCACTGGATTTTCTTCTTAGGCTTTCAAGACCTCCCTTGAATATTTTTCAAGAAGCAATTTCTTTAGTACCATTTTTGCATATTTCATACACTATGACATTCATGCCAAGGTCAAAGTCAGTCTTGAAAATATTTGTGTGTTTGAACAACTAAAGAACAAGATATCAAGAGAGGTTGACTGGTCATATTTTTGTTGACATTTAACTTCATCTTAAACTGTCATTACTTTTTAAGTTTGATTTGATAATTTGCGGCGGGGGATTATGTCACCTTAGTGACAATGCTTGTTTAAAAGTTTAAATCAGAGTCTTTGTCTGCCATTTTGCCAAGGCCAGGCCCCATTTCACTATGCAATATCAGGGCTACTTAGGCATGGCCTTATGCCCATTGTTATACCACTAAGATCGCTTTGTTATCCCCCGCAACGCGTTTTGCTGGGGGTATTAAAATGGACTCCGTCCGTGTGTGCGTCCGTCCATCCGTCCGTCCGTCCGTCCGTTTTAGCTGAACTCTAAAACCGTTCACTATTTCTTCACCATACTTGGCACATAGATAGATCTGGTGGTGTACTGGTGCCTTTTGGTAGTTTTGGAATTCTGAATAAAATATTTTTGGCGTTTCCATGGCAACAAGTTCAACTTAGACTGAAATTAGTGGTAGTGCTCTTTTCCGGAGCAGAACTCTAAAACCGTTCACTATTTCTTCACCAAACTTGGCACATACATAGATCTGGTGGTGTACTGGTGCCTTTTGGTAGTTTTGGAGTTCTGAATAAAATATTTTTGGCGTTTCCATGGCAACAAGTTTCACTTTGACTGAAATTGGTGATAGTGCTATTATCTGGAGCAGAACTTTAGAAACGTTTCAATACTCTCCATCCACTTTTCTATATACACACCTAAATATTTGACATAATCATAACTCGTAGACATAATCGTGAAGAGTATTTTGCCATTGCTGGGGATATTGATGACTTTGTCTTCTTGTTGAATTGGGTTCTGGACCATTATTTGGTACTAGTGAATATTGTCGCTGGGCTGTATAGATCTGTGTCTGTCTACACACAAGTGGAACGTGAACCTGTGTCTTTGTGCTGCAAGCAAAAAATGACTCCAGTGGATGTTCAGGTTTGGATAGGTCCCAAACAATCCATCCAAAGGTGACCAAAAGAAATGGGTGGTCAGGCTCTGAGTAACTAAGTTGACTGCATGCCATCGTACCTGCAGTGTATATACTCACAATATCATTCACTGGATCGGTTGGTCCAAACTCGATTATTGCTAGAATAGAATAGCTGAGTAAAGATAATCATCAAGGTAACAAGTAAATGATTTAATCCCTACACCACTCTACCGCCCTCTGCAGTTCAAGTGGTAGACTAACACTGAAAATGTATAATTTTGATAGAAACAAAGAACTTAAGTTCAGTTGAAAAAGAGCCACAGTGAGATGGGCGATTCGGAAAATAAACCTGAGGAAAATGTAGACTTGCTTCATTTAGGGCATTTGCTTTAAAGTAAGGGCTGGGTTGAAAGAAAATATTTTTTGTTGAGGGACTGTGAGGTTATGCAAGTGGTGAAGAATGGACAGACTGATGTAACTGATGATGTCATGCATCCATGACTACTAAATCTACCTGATTAGCAAAATGCATAGAGAAGATACCTACATCAAACTTTGTTGATAATTATTGATCATACTAAATATATAGTTGCTGTCATACTCATGTCTGCATGATAATATTCCACATTTGTAAGTTTGGAATTGAGGAAAAACAAATATTTTAAATGAGAAGTATTTCAAGGTTACAAATCGGATTTATACCTCAGCAATGTTATTCGGCTAGTCAGTTTTCTCTCGATACTCACTTGTTTTACAGTATGTCTTTTTGGTTTTCAGCCTCTGACCCATTTGTTGCTGTCTGGAAGTTGCCGCCATGCCGGAGAAGACCGAGGTTCAGCTCGGTGGCACGAAACGATTCGAATGTCGTGTCATCGGCTACCCTCGTCCGGACATCAAGTGGTACAAGGATGGAGTGGATATTACCCAGAATTCCCGTTTCAACTTCACACATACCCGTGAAGGAGTCATCTCTATGTTGATAGAGAAGGTGTCACGACAAGATGAAGGATGTTACCGGTGTCGTGCCCAGAATTCGGAGGGGATGGCATCGACTGCTGCCTATCTGTTTGTCAGGAGTAAGAATGGATTTATTTCTTCCATAGTTTTCTTAATTCATTCGTTCAACAGACTGAAAAATTAACTGAAGATATCCCCAAAAATGTTAGAATGTGTTTATGCATTTGTCACTGACTTGTTTCAGAATATTCTGACTTGTTTCAGATTATTCCGACTTGTTTCAGGTTATTCTGACATGTTTCAACAACTTGTTTCAGATTATTTGACTTGTTTCACCGACTTGTTTCAGGTTATTCTGACATGTTTCAACAACTTGTTTCAGATTATTTGACTTGTTTCAGACTTGTTGAGAAGAGAATAATGGTACATAAGCTTGTCTGTATGTTTTCAGTGACCGTGTCTGAACATGTAATTCCTCATTTGACAAATGCACTTACCTATTATAGCTCACATGGCTGTATATTCAGAAAACACATTCCAGAATGAAACAGATGTTTGAAATATGTTTTTGCATTTGATTGTTTTACCACTAATCAAGAGTTTTCACACACAGAACCAAACGGTGAGAAAATAATTGCTGCTTATAGATGTTTTCTTTGTTCACAGTATACGCAGCTCTGCCAACATGGAAATTTAACAAATTCTAATAAAACTTTATGTTTTAAATACAATTATGTTGTCTCCTTCTAGTCTAATTCTTTGGCTTGTGGTAGACTGGTAGATCACATAGCTGTTAAACTGTTTCAGGTTAATTGTCTTTGGTTTTCCACAAAGAATGTTAAACATCAATTAAAAAAAATTGATGGGTCCAAACAAAGGGCTTTATTAATGAGATTGAATATTGAAAATCTCTTATGTGAAGTATTTTGTGTGAATAAACAGAAGAATTCGATAAAAGTATGTACAATAACAGAAATGTCAAAGTCAGAAGGACCCTTTGATTCTTATCTGTTGATGGCACTGAAGTTAATACTTGTTCCAAAAGATTTGATTTTCCAGTAGCTTTATATAAAGAAATATTCTATATCCATTAACAAGTGTTATGTGTCTTCCATCCTTATGTAAATATTTACTGAAGTAAGTGGTCACTTTCAAACACTGCAAATTGCTTCAGTCTCTTTCTGTACTTGTGGTCAGGTGATACTCACACAGTAACTTACTTCTGACGCACATTACCTGGCGGGGGAACATTCTCCCGTGTTGTTAAGCCAGCTGGTGGCCAGACCAGAAACTCAGGTATTCCTGGAAAATGCATTTTTGTTATCGGCAGGTGGTGCTTATCAGCCGTGTTGGATTTCCCAACAGAGGTTCACACCAGGAACGCACCACTGTGTTTAGTTGTTAGGGGCACAGTCCTAATGAGACAGCCATGTTTGATCATCAAACCTAACCCTGATTCAACAATGTTGATACACTGAACACATTAGATTGATAGACTACTAACCCAAATTCATGTCAATAACATTTGAAAATGAATTTCAGAAATGATTTGCAGGATGTATTTTTTCAGAAGTTGTTGATTTAGAAAACATTTCACCAAATTTTGATGAAAACGTTCAAGAATGGAATATTGTAGTTGTTGAAGGTAAGCCAATATGGCATGTCCAACTTGAAGTCCTGTTTCCCAGTATCTTAACCATGGTCTCCCCCATGTTTGTTCCTTATTAATGTGTCAAAAGTAACATTTAGCATGAAGGTAATTGAACAATACTCTCCCTTAACTATGTCCTTGAATATTTTGTGTGTGTTTTTTTAATATTGCAATTAATTTATGTTTGAGTGGATAACATTGTTTATGGGTGGCGTTGTACGAAACAACCTTAGTGCTACGATGGTTGTAAGTCTATAATAAAGTATGGGAGTTATGGTCTCCTTAGCCCTAAGATCACTCTGTACAACGGCACCCAGGCAAGTGCAACTACAATTAGAGAGCCGTTCAAAGATTTGAGGTCTGGGGAAAACATTTGTTTCTTCAGTAATGGGGAGGGGACATCTGATAATATCATCTGCAGATTTTTTGTAGTGCAAGTTAATTTATGAGTAATTATGCCAATATCATTTTGTTCATTTCTTACTCTGAAGATGAATAGAATCACTATTGTAGATATAATGAGATAAAATACAAGAAGAACTGTGATAGATCAGAACTTTCCACCATGTATTGGTATCGCTTGACAATTTATGCGATGGCCATATTTTTGTGTTATTCCTTTTGGAAAGATCTTTCAACATTTTCACAGCTAAGCTATAGTGGGTGGGTGATAACAAAACTTAAAGAATTGGGTTATTTTAATATCCAACATCATACTGTCTGTTTCCTTGCTATTAACAGTTTAGTTTCTGTTTTCAGCCGATGTGAATCATTTTTTCAGTTCCTGTTGTATGACCATGCATGACGTGTATGACTTGTTAAACTAATTCAGCAATATTCAGATTATTCCTGCTTTCAGGCTAACACGTCTGTAACCAATTATTGTACAATTTACACTGTAGCATCAGTTAAGCATGGACATTATATATTTTGTAGACTAAAGATGTTATTGCTTGATATGAATTATGTATACACATACACACACATATACACACCCACAGATATTTGTGTGAAGACATGATACTTAATTTGTGTCATTTTTGTTCAACACATTCCTAAAATTGAATTTATAAATCTATCTGATGACATTGTAAACTACGATATTGGTAACACATAAGTTATTTGAATATGAGAGAAGTGGTGAAGTAATGAAATATGAGCATATTGAAATGCATCTCTATTGAAATTGCAGAATACAATGTTCACATCTAAATATTAAGAACATTCTTTTTTATTCTTTGACAGTTCTACAATCTGTAAAATGTTATAAATACAACATTTCAAGCAATAAATATACCTTGTTTTAAACTGCTGATTAGTACACATTTAAAAAAACCCTATTGTTTTATAAAAGAGTTGTTAGAACTCAACTTCTTCAAGAATTACAATTTGTTAGTACACCAAAATGTGAGCTGTTAAAGCAGAGACCATATACTGGTATATGGTCTCTGGTTAAAGATACCAAGTTAGCAAATATGATTTTCTTGTTTCAGCTCGGAAATCAAAGTTTCTGGATGATACTCCATCAGTTCACTCCATGTCGCTTATGGAAGCATCGGAAAAAGACTTAGAACATGACCGTGAATACAAGTCAAAACAACTGAAACATCGAAAACAGGAGTTTGAAGCGATGGAGACTGAAGAATACGAACAACATATATCTGTTGAGGAACAAACAGAGATCCACATCACTGATCGATCCACAAGGAACATCAATGAGGACAAGAATGTGTCAAGGGAAGCTGAGAACAGTGAGGAGTCGGAGGGCAGTTTTTCCTCACTGGAGGAGCTCAGTGGAACCAAAGATATACAGATCAAACTTGAAAAGATGGCGCAGATGTACGAGGAAGTTTCAGAAGAGAAAAGTACCAAAGGGAAAAGTGTTTCTTTCAAGATAGAGTCTGAAAGTTTTACCCAAAGTACTGAAATAACAGGAGAATCTGATTTGACAGTTGAATCAGAAGTCAGCATATCGGAAGAGAGAAAATCCAAGAAAGTCAAAATTTCGATAGATGAGTCAGAGTCTGCATCAATGAGTGAGGAATCTTGTACAACTGATGAAAATGAACTTGAAGAAGAAATCAGGAGGAAAGAGGAGCAACTGTCAGTGCTGATTACACAGGAGGCAACAGTAACAGATGAAAATACATCTTCATCCCAGCTGGATGTTTCAATAGATGACACCAAGCTGTCAACCCAAACAGCAGATGACTCTGGGTTGGGTATCAGCTTCAGTGCCGACACAGAGGAAAGATCATTCACTGAAGAGGATGACTCCATGGTGATCAGGGCATCTTTTGAAGTTGAAAGCACAGAAACTGAAAATGTGGAAATCAGGTCTGAAATTACCGAAATAAGTGAGTCGACAGTTGTTGACGAAACAACAGAGTCGGACACACACCAGGGGAAAGGGAACTGAAAATATCAGCAGAAACTGAAGTTGATGCTTCAAAGGAAGAACAAGGAGGATTATCCTTTGAGGCAAGTGTAATAACTGACAGCTCAGAGGTGGAACAGACTGGCCTGACTGTATCTGCAGATGTGGAGATAGAGGAGAAGAAGGTTAAAGAGACGTTAGAGGAAGGAAAGGAGGAAGTGCTGGAAAAGAGGGTAGAGGAGACGGAATCTCTCAATGGAGAAATTATACTTGAATCTGCAGCATCGCAGGATGTTGCTGGTCAATCGGATCTGGTGTTACCTGATGTTGTTCTGCCAGAATACAAGTCTGAGGAGCTTGGAGAACAACAGTCAGTCAGTTCTGTGGAGGACCTTTCATCTGATCATGCTGCAAAACCCAGAACAACTGCTGATGAATATTATGGTGAGGAGGACCTCGTCCTTCCACTTGTCAAGCAGCTTCCAGTCAACAAGACTGAGGAAATGAAGGATCAACAGTCTGAAGGATCGGTTGAAGATTTGCCTTTTGATGAGATGCCACAGTCACAAACTGATATGAATGTTGAGGAACAGCCTATAGCTGCAGTAGTGGAAGCTTTGGAGAGTGTTACAGAAGTCAGGGAAGGCCCTCCCGAGCCTGAGGTCTCTGATATACCAGAATCTACTGCAGAAGCTGCTTCAATGAGTCTTGGCCCGGACAGTGGCATATTTGATATGTCTCTGCAAGGGACTCAGTTCCATGTGGAGGAACTGGAGGTCACTGGATCTTCTGTGGACAGTGCAGAGCATCTAGAGTCACAGGAGGCATCTAAGGCTAAAGAAAAAATGTCTGGTGCTTATGAAATCGAACGAGTGCCTAAATTTGTTAGTTTTGAGCAGCATGTGAGTGAGAGTAATGTGGATAGTGCAATAGAAACAACTAAGAATCTCCAAGATTCTGAAGTCTCGTTTGTATCAAAAACTGAGGAAGAAAAGGCTGAGGTTAAGAAATCCCAGGATGTATTCATGGCAGATGGGGTCAGTGAAGAAAACCTTTCAGCTGATGAAGTTCAAGATCTGAGGGCAGATGAAACAGCTGAAGCTGCTGAAGTTGACAGTAATGGTTTACAAACAGTAGACAAACATGTGGAAGTGGCTAAAGTTGAAGAAAGCAGTCTTGTTGAAAAAGATAAAACAGAAAACACTACACAGTTTGACGAAGATGTCAAGGCATCAGCTGAAGTAAAGGAAGAGCGTGGTACCGGCAAGCAATTGGTGAAACAGACATCCATAGAAACATATATAGAACAAGCCTCTTTAGATGACCTTGCAGCTCTTGAGGAATTAAATACAATTGAAACTGATGAGAAAAGTCAGGCTGGTGAAACTATGGCGGACGTAACAGTGATGCAAGAGGCAGATAAAGAAGATGCTGTTGAAACTCAGAGCAGAATTCTTTCTGAGATCGCAACAGGAGAGGATAATCTCAGTGAAATCAGGGAAGCCCCACAGCCTGCGGAGGTCAGTGAATCCCAACAAAGCCAAGAGACCGAATCAGAAAGGGCACAAGTGATGCCAGAAGAGCTAATTTTACAAGCTGATGGAAATGTCGAGAACACCAAACAGCCTGGCGAAGAGGATGTGATGCTGTTACAGGCTGAAGTCGATATCACTGAGACCGAAAAAAATTTGGATGAGACATTGGCACTTACCACAGATGTTGATGTGAGTGAACAGAAGTATGACTCAGAAGGTTCAACATTAAAAATGTCTGCCACTGTAGATACCGAACAAGTGCTTTCACCACCAAAAGTCACCAGAGTCCCGGAAGATGTGTCTGTTCAGACTGGCGAGACCATTCAATTGGTATCAGAAGTTCAAGGTCAGTGGGTTACGATTTATGGTTTATTTGCTTGGCATGCTCAGAGTTTCTGATCGGTTTTCAAAACAGGTGTTCCTGAAGGTTGTGTTTTTGTAGTCAGCATAAGGGATAGGATGTTTAGGGAAATATTTTCTTTATCAACATTTTATACAAATTGATGATATTATATCAGTAACATATATTTGTTTAGATTAGACAGTGTTTCTTTAACATTTACAGAAAATATATTTGTGTCATTTATACATCATTATTGACTGACTGCTTGGTATTTAATGTTACATAACACTCAAAGAAACCTTTTAGTAGCTTTATGAAACTAATTTGACAAATATATTTAAACATTAAATGACCCTCAATCAGTATGATATGCTTTCTCTATCAATCTGTACCACAACACCTACAGCAATCAGCATTCTGGGATGTTCATTTATAACTGACACTGTATCAGGTCAACATAATACTGGATTGTATATTTGTATTATTAGAACCACATGGTCCCCTTGGTAATGACCATAGCCTTAAGGCTGCCAGTCTGTTTAGAATTATCTGTATTTATTATCTTATTTATTCAATCTTCCTTTCATGTCTGATAATATTCAGACATTTTGGATGTAAACAAACAAACATACAATGTGAAATCTTGCCAGATACATTCTCTCTATAAATGAGAGCCTCACTTGAGTCAGTCAGTCTTCAGAATATATTTTATAAGAAGAGTTTATTTTATCTATTGCTGTGACAGTCATTTTCATATTTCTTGCAATATTCTGTGTCAGTGTAGGAATATGTACACTTCAGTAAATATATTGGATAAAATGTTGTCTCAGTTTGGTATCATGTTTCAGTATGGTAATATGATGCACATATCATTATATTGAGCAGTTTTATATTTTAATTTGGTAAGAAGACACCTTCAATGATTATCATGATTATAGAGGGCAACTGTTTCAGTTTGGTAGATTGGTGCAACTTTCAAAGATTATACATTGGTTAATATTTCCTTGCAACCAAGGTTTGCATTTCAATGATTAATTAATTCAATATCCTGTTTCAATTTGATAGAAAGTTGTATCTTTCAATGATTGAGATATTATTGTGTTTCATTTGGTGGGATGATTTACCTTTCAATGATTATAAGGGTCAATATTTGGTTTGTCTGCTACAAAGGCCTACCTTTCAGTAAATATTTAAATCAATATCTTGTTTCAGTCTGATAGAAAGGCATACCTTTCAGTGAATATTTAAGTCAATATCTTGTTTCAATTTGATAGGAAAGTGTACCTTTCAGTGAATATTTAAATCAATATCTTGTTTCAGTCTGATAGGAAGGCATACCTTTCAGTGAATATTTAAGTCAATATCTTGTTTCAGTCTGATAGGAAGGCATACCTTTCAGTGAATATTTAAGTCAATATCTTGTTTCAGTCTGATAGGAAGGTGCATCTTTCAGTGAATATTTAAGTCAATATGTTGTTTTAGTCTGATAGGAAGGCATACCTTTCAGGGAATATTTAAGTCAATATCTTGTTTCAGTTTGATAGGAAGGTGTACCTTTCAGTGAATATTTAAGTCAATATCTTGTTTCAATTTGATAGGAAAGTGTACCTTTCAGTGAATATTTAAGTCAATATCTTGTTTCAGTCTGATAGGAAGGCATACCTTTCAGGGAATATTTAAGTCAATATCTTGTTTCAGTTTGATAGGAAGGTGTATCTTTCAGTGAATATTTAAGTCAATATCTTGTTTCATTCTGATAGGAAGTCCTTCCCCAGAGGTGAAGTGGTTTAGAGAAGGGGACACAGTGAAGCCCACTGAGAGGATCTCCCTCATTGCTGACAATGACATCTACACTCTGGAGATCAGAGAGGCCTCCAGTTCTGATGCCGGCACCTACACCCTGACAGCTCACAATCGGATGGCACAATCTTCAGTGATGTCCAGGTCACAGTCACGGCACCACAGGAGGAGGGGGCCACAGGAGGAGCACCTGCAGGGGAGGAAATCAGGTGAGTGCTGAGATAGGTGAGGTGAGGTGAGGTGAGTGGTGAGATAGGTGAGGTGAGGTGAGGTACAGGATGGGTACTACACTAAGTCTTTAAACCCATTTAAATTGTAAAAGAGCCCCAGTGAGTTAAGGGCTTTAACATTGCAGGGAGTGCTAGGCTGTAGGGAAAATAATGTGGTTCAGGGACTGTGAGGCAGACTAGATGGGTACTTTCTGGTGAGGTGTGAATGAGTGTTGGGTGGGGTGGGTCAGGTGAGTGATGGGCAGATGCAGAAGAGGCGTTAATGTGTGTTTAGTTGGGTTGGTGATGTGTGCAATGGTTACTTGTAGGGGAGAAGTGAATATAGGGAGTAAAGTTAAAGTTTGTGATGGACAATTCCTTGGGTGAAGTAAGTAAGGTATTAATGTGGTAAAGATATCACAATATTGCAATGACGTCTGCAAAATCTGCAAGTTGGTGGAGGTCAGATAATGCTGTGAAGTTGGAACCTTGTTAGTCCAGAATACTGCGATCTGGACACTTTTGTCAGGAATGTTTCCATATTTACAATGGACATTATTCTGTAACCATGAAAAAGACTTTGGATCTGTGTATCAGCATAGGTGGGGTTGACACAAGAACTCTTGTGGAGCTGTAGATCATTTTGAAAAGGAGAGCTATATGAGTAACTTCATGACTTTAGTTTCAGCTATTAGGTTGGGCATACACATGCTTATGGGGTTTATAGTCTGTTTGCTGTGAAAACGTATCAATGAATTTCACTTTAAACAAAAAAGTAAATCAAATAAAGTGAAATTAAGATTGCGAATCCTCATAATTTTACCTTGCCAATTCAACATTTAAATCTCAAAATTTTATTCAAATTAGGATAAAAGTTTATAGATTATAGATTCAAATCGCTATTACTGGTTTGTATTACAAGGGGGTAAGCACAGTAGTTGGAACAGTGAAACAAATGCATGTGTGGTACGTGAAGAGCGTTAACTTATTACAAACCTTGTCATTTTCGGTGTTTCATTTGACGTGCATACCCCCTTGTCATACAAACCAGTAATAGCCATGTGAAACTATGATCGTTTGTTAAACAACTTTTATCCTAAGTCGAATAAAATTCTGAGATTTAAATGTTCAATTGGCAAGGTAAAATCATGAGGATTCGCAGTCTTAATTTCATTTCATTTGTTTTACTTTTTGATTTCAAGTGACATTCATCGGTACGTTTTCACTGTAAACAGACTATAGCTCTACATGAGAACCTTGATTATGGTGGCATGCTGGGTTCCTGGGTGGGTGAAGGTGGGTCTTTGTATAATGTGTTTGTGAATGTTGGGTGATCGTTATGACATACGTGTATGTAGTGTACATGGGAGATTGTCTGAACATATCACTGTGGAATAGGTTAATAAGATATGTATGGTGTTTACCTTTATGAATGTTGTAAACATGTTGACAAGGGGAAGGGGATTAACAGTGGGTGCAGCATGAGCTAAAAACATGGGATGGGCCACCATGCCAGATCACTACTTGGTAGGAAGATGCAGAACTCACTTGATGGTACCAGTGATGCAGATCAGGCTCCACAGACAGTGGTAGTGGAAGGGTAATACTGAAGAAATTCTGTAACATGTTTCAGTGATACATACATTTATGCTGGATGTGTTTGTTTCTGACAGTGTCACGGCCCTCCTGACTTCCCCAGAGTTTGTCATCAAACCAGAAGATGTGACTGTTCAGGAATTTGAGCAAGTCAAACTTGTATGCTCTGTCAAAGGTAGGTGTACTGATCTCAGTGTTACTGTTTGCTAATCACATTTCAACCTTTTGTTCATATAGTGTTACCACATGATTTGGTAATTTGTAAGTTTTCAAAACAATTGCACTCTGTGATATTGACTGTGTGTTTACAAGAATGCATTTTATCTTGCAAATCAACCATTCTTTTATATTTCAAGGCATTTAATATTGCCCAAACTCAAGTGTTTGTTGAAGATTTTTTAATTGGCATTTTAGAAGCAATAGATACATAGATAATTACAGAACTGTTCAACCACTGATATCTCTAAGATTCTGAATTCATTGCTTCTGTTGAGTTCTGTAAATTGTGATGTCTTTATTAACTAAATAACTGTAAAAGAGTATATATATTTTAAAATATTTAATTATCATTGTCATCTTGTAGGAACGCCAACACCAGAGGTGAAGTGGCAGCGAGAAGGACAATCACTAAAGGCAGACAATCATTTGAGAATATTTGAATCCGATGGATGCCATTATTTAGAAATTCCCCATGCATCTTTCATTGACAGTGGTGAATATGAGTGTGTAGCTACGAACAGCGAAGGAACAATTTCTGTGGTTATAAGACTTACAGTTGAAGGTAAAGGTCATATAGTCTTTGAATTTGGTGGCGGTGATGGTTGTATTAGTGTATATAGACCCAGTGGCTAGTAGATGTATGTAGAGGCAGTTTGTTTGACTGTTTAATGTTGTTTGATTGTTTTATGTATCTAGTTTTAGTACATAAACAGTAGTCATTATTTACGGTGAAACTCTGTGATTGGAATAAATAAATTTGCTGGAATAGCGAATGAAGGTGTTTGAGCAACATGCATTTGTATCTGAATTGATGTCACCAGCTGCATCACCCATGATTCAATACTATTAAATAGGACCTGGATTAACAGTGTTTCACCATACTTTTTTAAAGCATTTTATAGTGTTTAAGAAACATGATGATGAAGGAATAGATTCTATGCATGCAGATATGATGTTGTTGCCTCTATGTTGTTTTTCTTATTGCTGTTGTTTTTGCTTTTTTCAACAGAATAGTTGAAGAATTGCAGAATGTGAATTTGTCGCCTGCTTGTAGATATCTGAATTTGTTTATTTAGTATTGTGATAATTATTACTTTGGTTTCTTAATTTAACGAATTAAGAACACAATGTCATTCAGATCACTGATTTGTGTTTGATATTACCCAACAATATTAGTTTGTCAGCAGAAAAAGAATTTCATTAAAAAAACAAACAAATTAGTTTGGGGGGGGGGGGGGTAAAAATTAAGTTACATTCAGGGTGACTTGAATAATAATTCAGAATTTTGTATTTGGGTTAACAATATAACTATGGACTTTGGGCAGTGTGAAACACGAAACAAACTGATCTGTTTTGGATGTTGATGAAGATGAAGGGGTTTTTACTGTTTAGAATGACTGAATAAGTAACTTTCCCACCATCTATCAGTAGAATATTATGATATATGACCTTATGATCTTATGATCACAAAATAAAGTATTTGCTTCTCATTTTGGATAATCTGCCTTTGTTTTCCTTATGGCTGTCTCAGTTTGTCATGTGGAAATGTGTAGACTCAGTAGGTACTGTTTTGTGGTGTGTTGAGAGTGCAGTGCATGACCAGATTTCAGATCAGATGAAACAGGAAATTTCTTGTTCAAGATTATACCCTTATGAAATATAATTACATGTTTATGTTGAGTTTTGCTAGTTTTTTGGTAATGTTTACATGACATGATTATATAAAAGAAACAATATATGTGATATAATGATCCCATTGTGTTTTATAGGGTTAGTGAAAATGATGCACAAAAATGAAAAGAGATTTTGGTAAACTTGTTGCTTATCTGGGAATGAAATGGTTTCACTTGCATACATCATTTCAGCTTACTGAAGATATTTTGTATATTTAATTGTATATTGTGTATGTAAGTAGTGTATTTTAAAACAGAAAAACAGTATACTGTCTCAAATATAAGTTAGTATGTGCCTGAAAAAAAACTAGTAACATTAACACTGTTACCAATATGGACAAGATCATTTATATTTTACTTCTAAAAAATGCAAATTAAATATTAAGAAATTTAGATATGTGAGAAGTTATTTCACACAGACTGTGAACAGTTTTCATTGAATCAGTTAATGATGTTTCTCTTTCTTTCACAGGGATCACTGACGCGGAGGAGAGTGCACTGTCAAATGAGGAACTCCGGATGGCGATGTCGGAACGCTCGGACACTGATGTCAGTACTGAGTCGACTACACGTAGATATATAAAACTTGTAGTCGCAGCGGCAGCGTTCACTCTCGTAGCTTTCGGCGTCCATAAAATGGTGCAAAATTTTCCCAAGGGGAGCTAACCCATGTTTCTAGTCAAAAGAAGTTCTAGTTATATTTCTATGTTGAAAGCAGAATTTGACACAAGAGAGAAATATAATTTAGATTTGAAGAATAGTCGGTCGTTCTATGAATAAAGTATTAAGCACTGACTTAAGAAAATTAAATAAGGTCAACAAAATTGTATTTATTCTTAGAAAATTTTAAGATTTGTTTTTGACATTTTGACAGCCAATAAAATCAGATAATTTTCTTTGCTATTTTACACAGAAACTGATAATTCATTAACCTTCAGTGTGTGATAGTTTGTGTGACTGAATGAGTGGTGTGAATGAGGAATGGAAAATTGTGATATTTTACAAATATTTGAAAATTATTGGTAATATTGCCTCATTTTGAATGTGTTAAATTTTCATCAGATTAGCTATTATTTTTTCAGAATAAAACTACAGAAAGAACTATAAATAAGAATTTAATGAATAAAATAGAAAACATTCATATTGTTAAGAATTTTGTCACAATATATTTTGAGGCTACATGAAAATGTATATAATCAAGAATGGTATTTTGGTCTTTATGGACCTTAAACACGAGAACAAGTTATTGTGTATTTTCTGCCATTGTTTGCACATCAATGGTGACAGGTTGCATTTATTCAGATATTATTCATTCTGTATTTACATTGATATTATATACTCAGGGATGTTACAGTCACAGTATATGCTCAGTTCCATACATTCCTTTGTTGCCATTCCAGGATTACTGATAATGTTTCAATTGTGTTGGGACTTTTTGTTGTGTCTTTGGGCTTGAATGTTTATCCATTTTAACCCGCCAAAATTGAAGAAATACTGCCATTGTCCTGCGACATATATTAAATGTCTCAGCTTTTAGGAAACTTTGATGATGATGATGATTTGGAGATTAATGTGTGCTTTCCGATATATGCGTATTTCGCACACGGTTCAAACTTTAGGAAAGGAATATCATTATATGAAAAAGTTTTGATGTTTTTTGTGTCTCAAAGAAAATCATATGGCTTTGGTTTTTATTGTTTGGTGTTAAATGTTTTGGGTAAAAGAAAACCTCATTGAAATTGACAGTTATAATATTTTTCTAAACTGACACTGTGCAATAAAGAGTGAAAATCAGCTTTTTTTACTTGAAATTGATGGCAGCCTTTAGAAATGGAAACTGCACCTATGAATAACAGCATAAGTACTTAGATATCATTGATCTGATCATCAGCCAGCATTAATTATGATTGTGTTTGTGACATGATTCTGGAATGAATGTCCTTGACATCATTGTGGTGTCACAGAAACTTGTTACCTGTTTCTCTATTGAGAGGCATTTCAGAAGTTGTAAAGATGAAGGAAAACCAAGTGCTAGATAGTCAACTTCTTTATTGCCATGAGTGCGACGTTTTGGTGTAGGTACTAACACCGTTATCAAGCATCACTTGCTTGATAACGGTGTTAGTACCAACACCGAAACATCGCTCTCATTACAATAAAGAAGTTGACCATCCACAGAACTTGGTTTTCCTTTGACTTGTTACCTGTTTCTCCATTGAGCCTTATACAGCATCTGGTTGAATCAATGTTGGAATAAAATGTTCCCAGTTACAATGTTGCATCTGTGTGTTGTGTGTTTCTTGATTCCTACACAGTAGAAAATAGCATAGACAATTTCATCATTTGGAAGAATTCTTCTGAATTTTGACAGTGGGGCTACATTTGGGTTTAGCAAGATTTGTAAATGCTGTCTTGTTGAAAGGCAGTGGAAGAGTAAAAAGGAAACAAGTTTCTTATGAACAAGCTCCAAGTTGAAATGAAAGAATAAATTTCTTCCAGATATTGAAATCATGTACACAGATGTTTAGCTGTAGTGATCTTGCATACATGCATGAGTGTTACATAGGTTTGTTCTGTGGAATCTGTTCTGATTCATGGTCATATCTCGTTGAACATTGTTGTTAAAACTGAAATTATTTCTCCAAATCAAAGTAACTGTTTTTTTATTTTATTTCTTGACATGAGTTTTGTGCTTGAATTTAAGTTAAATGCTATACATCATTAGTAAAATTAGATTGCTTTCTAGGTAGATTTTGTCTTGAATCAGAAGACAAAACTCATTGGACAATATGACAGTACATTCCTTTTTTTCTGAATTTATTGTTATCAGATTGCAACCAAAACTTTCTCTACCACAGTGCTTCATGTCATGCCATTCATGAAACAATAGACAATACCCAGACCTTACCAGTTGTCAATTACAGTGACCTTATCGGCCTTCATGACAAAACAATCTGTTACTAAGGATTTCAGTTGAGGACTTAAGCTTGCCCCATGTCATGGAAATATTTAACACATGCCTTTACTACTCCACATGCAATCAGGTGCAGGCCCAGGCAGACCTGCTCAAAAGAACATGTCAGAATCAGATGACTGAATACAAACATTATTAAAAGAAAAAAGGTGTTTATATCTTGTGCATGTATAGATAGGTATTCTAGGGGGATGATGAAACAGAGATTAGCGTCATATGATCCACCAGCTGGACTCTTTTTCTTGCTGAGAATGATTCTTTGATATATTGCACAAGATGCTGTAGATCAAGAAAAACATGCATTACAGAGAACCTGAAATGCCAAGTGATGTACAACTTGCCTGCTCAGTAGTTCCAGATGCAGCTCATGAACCAAGGGTATTATTCTCTGACAAATGACGTGGCTTTTGTTAACACAGGTTGTTGTGTTGATATGTGCTGCTTCAGATTACAATGGCATTCAGTATAAATTCATCTAACCTGTTTTACCTGCACACTTGTATTTGTTCATGGTATGCTAAACGTTTCTTCAATAGGTTTTCCAAGTCTTATTGACATATTATGGGTGTTCCACAATTAACTGAAATCTCGGTATGTCAAGATGTTGGAAACAATGTGCAGAGTTGTGTCCCTTGTAGCTGCTGGTTTTCTGTTGGTTTACTGCCAGATTGACCACAGTTATGTCCTTGACATCTTGCTACGTCTACATTCCAGTGCCCATTGGTTTCTCTGAAGTACTAAACCTCTGAAACATATCTCATTTAGGGCTCTATTGGTAAATAACTAGGTTGTTTTTTTTAAAACCCAACCAGTTTCTGTATGCAAGTCAATAAAAAGTTATATGGGAGGGGTCTCATGCCTCTAGGACATTGCAGGTCAGGAATGTCCAAGACATGAATCCTCAAAGGTCAAGATCTGTTGGTTGTGGGGTTCGATCTCAGATCTGCTCTAGCATGGTCTGTCCTTGCCATATCACTGCTTTAGGGTTAAATGTACAACATGTACAACTTTGGGCTTTTTTCCCCATTAATTTGACATGATGTGATAAAACTGAACTATTGTTCAAAGTGGCATTTGACACAAACAACAATGCTATATTCTTGCACATGCAATTGAAGATGAGCATTTTAGTAACATATCATGCTTACATCTCCTGACACAAATGCTTTCCAACAGGCCATACACTAAAGTGAACCTTTTCTCTATTCAATTTTGACAACTTTAGATTAGAGGATTTCAGATTCCTCTCTTACAGCTGAACTACTTTGTTTTATTATTGAGAATATGTTTAATGCTCTGCATGCTTCAATCTGAGAGGTTCATGTGGGAGATTTCAGGAGTCCTTGACACTTATCAAACACCCTCATGTTATACACACATCTGCATGCTTCAATTTGAGAGGTTCATGTGGCAGATTGCAGGAGTCCTTGACACTTATCAAACACCCTCATGTTATACACACATCTGCATGCTTCAATCTGAGAGGTTCATGTGGGAGATTGCAGGAGTCCCTTGACACTTATCAAACACCCTCATGTTATACACACATCTCTGCATGCTTCAATCTGAGAGGTTCATGTGGCAGATTGCAGGAGTCCTTGACACTTATCAAACACCCTCATGTTATACACACATCTGCATGCTTCAATCTGAGAGGTTCATGTGGCAGATTGCAGGAGTCCTTGACACTTATCAAACACCCTCATGTTATACACACATCTGCATGCTTCAATCTGAGAGGTTCATGTGGGAGATTGCAGGAGTCCTTGACACCTATCAAACACCCTCATGTTATACACACATCTGCATGTTCTCTCACTTTATTCTTTTAACGGCCTATGCTTATTCTTCCCTAATAACATCCATCCCTGTTCCTGCATGCAGTTCTACAGTAATTGTTTTCCGATGTTGGAAAAGGCCTTGAGCTACACAAGAAAATGCCATTCATTGTTTTGCATCAAAGTTTGCCTTTAAGAACAAGTAGTTTCATCAGTGGCTCAGTGCGTTCTTCCATTATGACAACCCTTCCTGACCTTGACAGTGGGACAGGACAGGAGGTCCTGTACCACCCTTGATGGCGACCCATGTGACCATAGACCTATACAGCAGAGGTTGAGCATCAGTGTGACCCATGTGACCATAGACCTATACAGCAGAGGTTGAGCATCAGTGTGACCCATGTGACCATAGACCTATACAGCAGAGGTTGAGCATCAGTGTGGCCAGCATGACCTTTTACCTACTCACCATGGATGACATCATTCTGGTCAGTTCAAAGGAAGATACCCATGGCTTTGACCATAATGGATTGTTAAGAAGAATTCTGGAGGACTCTCAATGTCACATCAGTGTTCTGTGGAGATACTTGTACATGGAGAATGATGTGGCCTTTGTTATTCTGTGGTGTTGAGTATTTAGAAGACAATGTAACTGAATTTAGACATATGTCACTGACATGATAATTGCCATGACATATTTTAGCCTCTTCAAATCTATGTTTTCCGAAGTTCCACACAATGACCTTTAAGCCACTCTTTCAAAGCCAACTTATGTTCCAAAAGTGCTGGATTATAAATTTCTGGAAGGATGCTGAAATAACTTGGTTCCAGATGATCAGTATGCTCCATGAAGATGCTTGAAGCTAACAATGACTATATACATTCTCTCAAGGTTTAAAGGAACAGTTTGATATTTCTTGTGTGTTCTAAAGTGTCGAGATGCTGACAATATCCTGTGGAAATGTCCAGTAGCCAGTATAAAAATCGATTCATTCAACTTTATATTCCAAAGTTGTTTGCAGCAATGTAGATCTCCAGAATAACCCTACCCCTCCCCATTTCCATATATACCAGTGACGAATTTTACTTTACAGTAACATTTTTGACACTAGCTTTGTGTCCAACATATTGCATGGAACATAAATAGAAACACCGAACCCAATATGATTGTAGCTTCTTTGTCAACCATTCAAACACTATGAATCGTCACACAATGTGTGGTGTGTCATCCCCAACCTTTGGAAGTCATGGCATGGCATGAAATATTAGATCTTTCATAGTCTCATAGACACTACAAGTCAAACAATCATCCTGGTGTAAACTCTGTGGGATAAGCCTTTGTATAGTTGTGAATATATGACTGTTGATCCTGAAGTCAGTGTGAATGCATGGTACTGATCCTAGGACCTCCACCTATACACTGAGCATGTTCCGCACTATAGTCAAGACATTTGATAACCATCCTTCGTGAAGACCACCCAGGCCCTCTTGGGACCACCTGGTCATGGATCACCTGCTTGGATTTACCTTTTCCTGGACCACCCTAATGAAGTGATGAATTGTGTAGTTGTGTGATCACATAGAACAGAAACATATCCTATATTCAGCATGATAGATGAAGCAAGGTAGGTTCTACCATCACAGGATATTGCATGAAAAGGCCCGTAGGAAGCACAGCCATGTAGGAACCAGCCCAAACTTGATGTGCTTGAGGATTCTTGTGTGGCATGACCACTTCCCAAGGATGATGTGCACCTATAACACCACACCTGGATAGGCATGACAGATTCTACAGGATCTCACTTGCAGATTAGAAGATGCCGTGTCAAAGGATGTAG